TGAGTGTTGGTGCAGCTGAAGGGTAGGTGGGGGCGGGAGGAGGCAGGAGCCCTGCAGGCCAGGCCAGGGAGCACAGCTGGGACCTTTGTTTTCAGCACTGAGAACCACGGGAAGATTTTTAGCTGGGTAGTGACAGAGGTCAGGGGTTTCTTAATTGCTTTTAATAAGTTGGTAAAAATGTTTTGGGGGTGGGACAAGCGGAGGGGAAAGAGAGGGGCCATCATTCAATCCCTTGAGGGAAGAGAGGATGGAGGAATGTGGGGGGAATAGTATAAGGATTTCCATTTAGGGTAGAAGGGGGATGCTGTGGGCAAAGTCGGAGCACCCGCAAAGGAATGCACTGATGCTCCTTTGGGGAGCTGTGGACATCTGAACCAGCCATATCTGTGTGTACGTGTGTCCCTTTGTCAGTTTTAAGCAGCTTCTGGTTTTGCCGCTTGTGGGCTCCTTTACCCACACCTTTCCCAGTGTCCTCCCACCGCTGCCCACCACCACCACCAGGTTGCGGAGAGCGAGGCAGGAGGTATGGGCTGTGATACTAGATCTGCCTCACTGGTGTGGACTGGGGTGAGGATGGTGGCCTCTTATTAAATAGTCTTCTAAGCCATTCATTGTGGCCTAGAGCCAGTCCACCACTTACTCCTTAGATGCACTATGGGTGAGAACCGAACCTTTCTGGAGCCTTCATTGCTCCATTTGCCAGATGGGGCTCAATTTACCCACCGAAAAAAATCATATGAGAATTATACCGAGAGCAAAACATGGTGCCTTGCACGCCCTTCACGGCAGTTCAGCTGAAGTTAGTTCCTCCTACCTACCTAGCAAGAGCCCTGGTGGTGCAGCGGTTAAGCACTTGGCTGCCGAGCTTTTGCCAACCGGTTGGCAGTTCGAACCCACCAGCTGCTCCCCAGCCACTTTGTGGGAGAATGATGTGGCAGTCTGCTTCTGTAAAGATTCCAAATCCGATGCCATCGAGTCGATTCCGACTCAGTAGAACTGCCCCATAGGGTTTCCAAGGAGCACCTGGTGGCTTCAAACTGCCAGCCTTTTGGTTAGCGGCTGTAGCTCTTAACACACTAAGCCACCAGGGTTTTCTGTAAAGATTACAGCCTTGGAAATCCTCTGGGGGCAGTTCTACTCTGTCCGATAGGGTGACTATGAGTCGGAATTGATTCCACGGCAACGGGTTTCAGGTTTATCTACCTAGGGCATTGAGCCTATAGAAGGCGGTTGGTTAATGACAGTGTTACCAGAATGTTCCTTTTTGAGATAGGAGGTTGACAGGGAGGCCCTTATTCCCTGAGAAAGGACCATCCCGTTTGGAATCAGCCATTGAAAACCCTACGGAGCACAGGTCTACCGTGACACACATGGGGTCGCCGGAGTCAGAGTCCACTGAGGGCAGCTGGTTTTAGGTGTGTTTGGAGGGGCGAATTGGGCAGTAAACTGTCCCTTCCCTTCCACACAACAGCCTGTAACAGGGACCGCTTGAGTGTTTCATTACGTCCCGCCGCCGCCCAGGCAAGCGTGTGTCAGGGGCGGGGGGGAGGCGTGGGGGGGGGGTCTGCCGCAAGGACATCCTGCTTAGCTGTGAGGGCGCGGCGTGACATCGTCGGCCTTCTGGGGGCTCCACGTGTCCCCGGAGGCCAGTGTCCGCTGCCTCTGCTTCGGCCCTCCGGAACTCGGGCTCCCGCGGAGGCGGCTGAGGCCCTTTGCTGCAAACGGATGTCGCGGGCACCTGGCTCCCGCTCTGATTTCAAGGTGGAAAGCGGCTCACGTGAAGGTGGCCCTGCAGGCAGAGCGGGGACAGCCAGCCCACTGCACCCCACCGCTGCCGCGTGCTCACCTGCCGGGCGGGGGCGGGGCGGGGCGGGGCCGGCGCGACTGGCCAATGAGGATAGGACATTTAATGGACAGCTACATTGTGGCGGGGGGGTGGGGGAGCAGGCAAGGGGGTGGGGAGTTTGAAGCTCCGGAGCAATAGGAGACGCTGGTGGAGGCCCGGGCAGCCGGAGGACAGTTGGGGGCGCTGGGGCATGACAGAGAGATGAAAAGATGCCGGCTGCCTCCACCGGGAGCAACAGGCCCCACCCCGGTCCCCCCTCTTTTCCTGGGCTCCACCGGACCATCCGCCTGCTGTCGCCAGCTCGACAGTGCCGCCTGCTGGACGTCGGCCTCTACGCCCGGGCTACCAGGGCCGAGGCCCTAGGAGGCTGCGTCCGGCGTGGTCCCCAGCCCAGGGAGCGGCCCGGGGAGGAGTGAACTCGCTCACCCCGGGTGCAGCGGCTTTGGCCTCTTATAATACGTGTTAGGGTCAGAAAGGTCTATGGTCGTCAGAATAAGTCCTTATCCCGCTCCTTCCACTGGGGCCCAACAGTCCCACCACTCAGTCCCGCCCAGGGATGAGGAGATGGTGGTGAGACAGTCCCTGGAAGGAGGCAGCGGCTGAGGAAGGGAGTTCAGGAGTCGGCCTGCTGTGCCTGGTAACAGCAAGGCACAGCTGGAAGCAGCCCTGGATTCCTCATGGATTCTGTTGCCTGGGGGTGGTTCTAGACATGGGCAAAGGAAGCAGCTGCCTTGCAGTGTTATAAAACTAACCAAACCCGTTGCCGTCGAGTCATTCCGGCTCATAGCGACCGATAGGCTAGACAGAGTACAGCTGCCCCATAGGGTTTCCAAGGCTATAAATCTTTATGGAAGCAGGCCACCACATCTTTCTCCTGCGGGGAGCAACTGGTGGATTCCAACCACGAACCTTTCGGTTAGCAGCCGAGCACTTTAACCACTCTGCCACCAGGGCTCCAGATAGTGTTATATGAGAGCTCAAAGAGTTGGGGTGGGTTATGCATCTTCCATCCCTCTTACCTGCTATAATACAGGGCTGAAGTCCCCCTAATTAGAGACAGGACTCATTCATTCGTTCACTAAACATTTACTGAGCACCGACTGTGTGCCAGGCACTGTGCTAGGTGCTGGGGATACAGCAGTGACCAACCCACAGTCCCTGTCCTTGAGGAGCTCACAGTCTGTTGGAGGAGAAATATACATGAACAAATAATGAAGGCGCTGCAGTGTGCTAAGTGCTACAGTAAGAGGTAGGTACAAAGTGCCGAGGGAGCCCAGAGGAAGGAATAATGCATCAGCTACTGGGATTGGGGATGGGGTCTCTCCTCCGCGACACCATGGCAAAGGCAGGGATGTGGTTGCCACATGACCACCGTTCAAATAAACCTGTCTCCTGAGGTTCTCCTCTAGCCCTCTCCCATAACTATATCAGCACAGGTGAGTTTATTAGATTGGCTGGTTTAACACTTGGACTAGGAAAGAAATTGGACAGGGAAGTCTCTTTAGGAGCAGAGGATATTCAAAGTAGTAACAAATCTTTGGGTGCTAAGGCTGAGGGGTGGGGGTATCATGAGGGCACTGAGCCAGGGAGAGCAGGCCCTGGGCAGTGGAGCACCTGGGGTGAGTGCCTGTGCAGACGGGAGGTCAGAGGTCACCTGCCTGAAAGTTTGGTTCCCTCTCTCCCACCAGCTCAATCAGTAACCGTTGTTGATGTTCGCTATACGCTCGTAGTGTGCCCTGTTCCGCAGGTGTGTGCTACAGTCCCCCGCCCCTCAGGAGGTAACACATTAACTGGGGAGCTAAACAGGTACAGGTCGTTAAAGATTTCAGTAACAGTTACAGTGATTATAATAGAGGAGATATCACAGGCTGGTCATGATCAATTGCCAAAAGAGTAGCAATTGCTATGAGTTCAAAATCAGTAACTCACTTAAGGCTAGGCTGGTGTGGGGAGGCGGCTTCCATGAGTTGAGTCTTGAAGGACGGATACAGTTTAGTTGGTACTAGAGGTGCTCAGCTGCTAACTGAAAGGTTGGTGATATGAGTCCACCCAGAGGCGCCTCAGAAGAAGGGCCTGGTGATCTACTTCTAAAAAAATCACAGCCAAGAAAAGCCTGTGGAGCTCAGTTCTACTGTGATACACATGGGGTCACCATGAGTTGGAGTCAATAGAAACTGGTAAGAAGAGAGGTGGGAAGAGCATTGTTGCCAAACAGAATCAAATAATGCAAAAGCACAGAGAGGGGAAAGCCCCACACATGTTCAGAGTCCAGCGAGTCCAGCAGTTCAACTGGAGCGGTGCATTCATGTGGAGGAGCAGTGGGAGAGATGACTGGAAAAGTGAACTATGACCTGATGGGAAAGGGCCTTGAATGGCAGGCTAAGGACTCGGGACTTTGTCTGAAGGCAGGGCTGATGCTAAGCTTGAAATACTTCCAGAACTACTGCCCTGAGCCCTCCAAGTGCCCCCTCCCCCCGAACTCCTCCAGGACTCCTGGACTGCCTCATGATCCAACAACTAAAGAGTTCATGCCCAGCCACCTAGGATGGCTTGGAGGTAAAGTATTTTGAGTATCACTCCTACCTGTAGACAGTGAGGAGCCACGGGAGGCTCTTTAGTAGGAGAAGGACAGAATGGGTGACCTGGAAGATCAGAGGGGGTGCCACTGGTCATCCTGGGGGTCGTTGACGTGTACGAGGGAGGGAAGCTAGGTGGTTTGAGTTAAGCTCTGGGAATGTGGAAGAAAGGCCAGATTTTAGAGACACTGCAAACTGGGCTGGACCTCTGGGGATGGGAGAAGGGGACAAGTGAAGGCAGCAATCAGACAGGCTTTGCTATTTCCAGGTTAGAAGGTCAGGGAAATGGTGACATCGTGAACAGAAATAAATAAGGCACGGAGGTTTTTATAGGTGTTTTGGAAAGGTTTTTTGTGTACATGGGAAGAATACAGAAATCCATTTTTAATAGAGGGGCTGTGTTTGAGGGACTGACGGGCATCTAGGTGGAAATGGCTGGCAGGCCACCAGGTGTGAGCCAGGCACTTAGGAGGAAAGGAGGGGCTGGCATTCTAGAGTCGAGCTGGAGCCATGAGAATGGATGAGACCCTTGGGGAGCGCCCACATTTAAAGCCACAGATGAGGACCTAGCACAGGCACAGAGGACGGGCAGCAGGAGGGCACGGGAGAACCAGGCTAGTACAGACAAGGGACTGGGAAGTAGTGTCACATGCTGTGAGGGCTCACAGGGGCTGAGAACTGTGAAGAAGGCGTTAGATTTGACTGTGAGGGTATCGACCTTTGAATGATGAGTTTCTGGGGGGAGAGACAGAAACCACATTTTTAGGAGGGGCAGGGCCACCCCTAACGCATGCAGAGCCTTTGTGCACATTTTACAAAGGTGACCCCTTCTCAAGACGCTTTACTTTCAACCACCAGGAAATTGTCATAATAAATTGATTTTATTAGAAAAAGACCCCTTAATGCCATCTACTGGAGACGTGTAGTAAACGCACCTGCACAACCACAGATGGTTCCTTCCTGGAGGGGAGAGAACAAGAAGAGAGTGGGAGAGGATGATAGTAGGCTGGTAGCAACCAGAAGAAGAGGGAGAAGAGCAACCAGGGGAGGTAGTTAGGTCAAGTGCGTGGCTTTGTACCGAGGACATACAAAGGTCCTGAGGCACGGATTCACACCAACCAAATTCACCAGAAAGACGTGGCTGTTTCCGAGGCTGACACTTCTTAGCCTTGCCCCCAAACTTGGCAGGAGAGAGACAGGCTAATTCAAAGAGGGGAGAGGGGAGGGGGCCCAGCCCTTGACTCGGGTTGGCTTCAAGAGAGAATAGGTTGACCCTCAGAAAGAGAACAAAGGGGAGGAACGAGCCACGTGGAGACAGGAGAGGCACCACGAGATGAGTAGAAGGCAGGCTGGGTGGCAGAAGCAGAGTGGCGGTGGGCCCAATCTACATCACTACAGGACTTTCCTCAGCAACGCCTGACAGCTGGGAAATATCAGGGGCAAAATGATTCCAGGGAGTCCCTGGGTGGTGCAAATGGTTAAATGCTCGGACGCTGCGGAAGAAAGTCCTGGTGATCTGCTCTGAAAACTCAGCCATTGAAAAACCCTGTGGCGCACAGTTCTGCTCTGACACACATGGAGTTGCCAGGAGTCAGAGTTGACTCAACAGCAACTGGTTTTTAAAAATTAATCCAGAGGGAACCCAGGACGGAGGATGTAGGCCAGGGTGCTGGAGAAGGCTGTTGTCCTGCAGAGGGCCGGTATTCCGGAAACAGCCCAAGCCCTAGGCACAGACATTCAATTAATTCAGCCCCGACTGGGGATTCTGTGGCTGGCTCTGACTCTGGAGGGGCACTTTGCCCCTGACTAACCCTTCAGCAAAGCACTCTGGGGTAGCCACAGTCGCAGCCTTTTGGCATGGTGACTGTAGTGGCCAGTGCACCAAACTCCAGGAAGAGCTGCCTGGGACTGAGTTCCCCTTCCTCTCCTCGTGGTTTTATACTACTCGGTCTTCTCGTCCCTTCCAACTGCATACCGGCCCCCCCCCGACCCAACCCACGTACATTGCAGCTCTTCTACCTTCATCCTGTGCCAGCTGTGACATCTCTCTAGATCTGGAGGCTCCAGCCTGTACCCCATAGTCCCGGAGCAATTGAATCTTGGTTTGTACAAAGGAAATTACATCATGCTTTTCCCTTAAAAAAAAAAGTCCCCATGTCTGTGGCAGACCCACAGAGAGACACATATCCTTGAAGACCTCACAGCTACACCCTTGTTCTCCTCGAAGAAACTAAGATACAGACTCACAAATACACACAAATACATACAGAGATATTCACATATGGGATAACAAATTCCCTGTGTAGGGAATGTGGCTGGTGAAATGCAGTCAGGCAAAAGGCCACGTCTCGCTAAGCCCTGCACGTGGCCTGGCCACAGACTTCTCCCTGACCCAGGAGGTTTTTCCCTTCATCACCAAGTCACGCCCTTATCCCGGCAAGAGCATATCCCCAGTACTCTTGAGGGCCATGGTATGATGCCTGGGAGGTTCAAACTGGGCATAGCTTGGCCATGGTGATGCCAGGCAGGGGTGGGGGCTGAACTGTAAGGGCAGGGTGCTCTACTCAAGTCAGTCTCCACTAGAGGAAGTCCACAAAAAAAATGCTACTCAGCTTGGTCTAGTAGACCACACTTCCCCCAACCCCTTCACTTATATGTCATGGGGCTCCATCTTAATGAGGGAAGTTGGATTGAATGGAGAGAATGGGGCTGGGGTGGGGGATCTGGCCAGAAGGCTCCCAGAGGTGGTCACACTAGGCTCAGCCATAAACAGGGACCCTGAGCCTGAGGAGAGCTCAAGTTCAGCCACCGGGGTCAGCCCAACAGTGGGGCGGCTGGGTGGAGAGAAAGTCTGGTTCCCCATAAGGCTCTGATTCTGGGAACCCCTCGAAACCACCTGGGTTGGGAGTGGCTGAAGGTGAGCCTGGTCTCTCAGGAGCTCCCTCAGGGTCTCTTCAGGAACCAGCAGCCCCTCCATGGGGGCCCCAGTCAGCATGCCCTGCACATAGGAGGAGGGCCTGAGTGGCCCCTCCTTGACCCCGGGGGCTGCTGTGGCGCCGGAAGTCCTGATGAAGGCAGCAATGACAGTCCCAGGGGGCTGAGAGCTCGGCCCTGCTGGTCCAGCACCCGTGACCGGGGGTGGTGCTGGATTGGTTGGGCGGTTGGCCCCAGCCAGAAGTTGGGGGAGGCCACTGAGAATCAGTGGAGGCCCTGGCGCTGCCACTTGGCTCTCTTGGAAACTGGTGTTCAGGGGGAAGGAGGCCTGCAAAGTGAAGGTGTCCTTGAAGGTTGAAGTAGGTGGGACGCTCTGGAGAACCAACTGGGTTGAAGCAGTAGTACTGGCGGGAGGCCCGTTGGTCAGCACCGTGGTCAGTGGGATTGTCTGCAGGGTCAAGGCTGAGCCTGACCCCACAGGGGCCACTCCTAGGTGGATGTTGCTGGGCACTGAAGAAGGACTGAGAAAAAAACAGAAAATAGGTTTGGTTAAGACAGCAGACATGCCCCAACTGGTTAGAAAAGAGGGCACAGAGAAGTGAAGCTGAAGGTGTTTTGTGTGGTGTTTTACCCATTGCCGTTGAGTCAATTCCGACTCATGGCGATCTCGTGTTACAGAGTGGAACTGCTCCATAGGGTTTTCTTGGCTATAGTCTTTACAGAAGCAGATCGCCAGGCCTTTCTTCCACAACACTGCTGGATGGGTCCAAACCATCAACCTTTGGGTTAGCAGTTGAGCACAAACCATTTGCACCACCCAGGGACCTTGTTGTTTTAGCTAACATTTACTGAGTATTTAGTATAGGTCAGGGACCAGTCCTCACAACAGCCCACAATTTAATGAGACTGATAACCTAATTTTACTGCTTGAGGCAACTGAGGTACAAAGAGGTTATGTAACTTGCCCAAGAGCACACAGCTAGTAAGCAGTAGAGCGGGGACTCAAATCTAGGCTTGCCGATCCAGAGCTTATGTTCCTCACCATTCCACTCTACTGCCTCCCCTCCTCAGAAGAGCACACAGTGGGGGAGAGGTATGTATGCAGAACCCAGAAAAAAGTCCAACCTTTTCAGGGAAAATTGGGGACACCTTAGCGTGGACCAGAAGTAGTGAGAGCTTTCCGGCTGGGCCTGGAGGACCTGAGGAAGGTAGAGTAGATATTTCTGCAACATTCTCTGCTGCCTTTTTTCTGGAGTGAAGGAGACTTGAGGGGATGGGCCCAGGGGTGGAAGCTCCTGGTGGCTGCTTGAGGGAGAACGCTGGTGTAACAGGAGCATCCCCAGCTGGTGGCAGAAGGCTTCCCAGGTCAAGTGCTGGCTCTGCCATTACCTCAGTGTGTGACCTTGGGCAAGTCACTTTTCCTCTCTTGACCAACAAGTGCCCCCCTGGCTTCCCAGGGATTCTGTGAGGGTCCCATGAGGCCAGAGACACAGCAGAGCTTTACAAGAATTTGAAGACTGACCCCCCTCCACCTGAGGTGCTATGAGTAGAATCATAATCAGTCTGGTGGTGCCCTTACCTCACGGCTTGGGTGAGTTTGGCCTGGCTCTCTGGCGGAGAGACAAGCACAGTGGAGGTAGTGGGGATCTCCTCATCTAGCGACAGTCCCAATTCCAGACTTGCAGATGGCTGTAGACCAACATGCTGAACCTTTGGCTTCTCCCAGGAGGGGCCGCCCTTGCCCTGAGTGGCGGCTCTGGAAGAGACCCTGGAGCTGGCTCGGCGGGTGGTGGTAGTGGAGGGAGTAGAGGAGGTGGAGGCCTGAGGGGACATGGCTGCAGCCTCACTTCTCTCGTCCTCATCTTCAATCACCACCAGGTCCTTGGGCATCTCCTTAAACTGGTACACCAGCCTCTGCCCTTCCACTTTGGCAAGAATGCCTCTTTGGTAGTAATATCTGGGGGACAAGGATTGCAGAGTGGGGAGTTAGCTAGGGACTGAGTGGGGAGGCCATCCCTCTCTGTCTCCCTGACATGCCACCTTCCAGGACAGGGGAGGCAGGAGGCTGAGGCTGGCAGGTGAGCCAGGCAGGAGACCAAGGACAAGGGCAAGGATAAGTCCAACTCTTGGACTCGGAAGGCTTTTAGGAAACGTCTAAGATTTTCCCCTGAGGACTCAAAGGATATTAATAATTAAGGGTTATTAAATACCAACCCCCACCTTGCTTTGGGGGGGGGACAGGGGTGAATGAGGGATGGAAATATGAGTGAGGGGACAGGTGGCCGGGGTTTCAGCCATCCCCCAGCCTGAGAGACCAACTCAAGTCTCTCCCTGCGTCTCTGGCCTGCAAAAATGAAGAAAGCCCTTCTTGGGGATGGGAAGCCCAGAAATGCTCTTCCCACTATAGAAAGAGGCAAGGCTAGGGCAGAGATGGGCGAGGGAGGGTATTTTCTCCCCTCCCAGAGGTCCCTGAGGGCCTGGGGAAGGGGCTCAGGGGCAGGCAGATGGGAGGCCTATGAGACTCACGTCCTCAAAGGACCAGTCAGGCCTCCATTACAGCAGGAGAGACTCGACATAAGGCAGCGCTTGGTGATGGTCACCAGGTAGGGACTCTGTGCCCCAGAAGCTCCTACCTGAGGGCCCGCCCCATTGTCTCATAGTTCATGTCAGGCTTGTTTTTCTGTTTCCCCCACAGCTTGGACACAGCTTTGGAGTCCACCAGCTTGAAGATGCCTTTCTCTCGCTGGGTCCACTTGATGTACTTGGGACAGGTGTTTCTGTCTTGCAGAAGTGCCAGGAGGAACTCCCACAGATAGATGGTGCTGCCTGCAGACGAGCAGGCAGTGAGGGGCGGCCCGGGCACCCTGGAGGCAGAGAAGGGGCTCCTCTCCCACCTCACCATCCTCCCAGCCATACCTTTGCCATCCTTGGATTTTTTCCTTATGGGGATGCTGGGGTCAGTGACAGGTGAGGTACTTCGGTTGCCCTTTGTCTTCCGGACTGTGAGAGAGAGGTGGGAGAGCAGGATGAGGCTGAGACAGTGGTGAGCTGAGACAGAGGAGGGAGGGCCCAGGATCTCACCTGGTGGGCCATTGAGCAGAGGCAGACCCATGATAGCTGGGCCTCCAGCCCCCATGACTTGCCCCCTCCTTGTCCGCCCCTGCTCAATGGCTCACCCTCATTTCCAGACCCAAAGGCAGCACCTAAACGCAGCTAGGGTGTGGGGAAGTGTGTTGTTGTTGCATGTTAGATGCTATCGAGTTGATTCCGACTCATAGCGACCCCATGTGACAGAGTAGAACTGCCCCATAGGGTTTCCTAGGCTGTAATCTTTACGGAAGTAGATCGATCGCCAGGTCTTTCTTCCGTGCAGCCACTGGGTGGGTTCGAACCGCCAGCCTTTAGGTTAGCAGCCAAGTGCTTAACCCTTGCACCACTAGGGCTCCTTGTGGGGAAGTGTAATGCGTGCATCGGAGGCGTAACTAAGGTATGGCAGGTAGGGCGTGTGCCCTGGGCGCCGCTTGAGGAGGGGTGCTAACGAGCAATTTCTATTGGCCATTGCAGTTTCCATCACCAGCTGTGAGAGATCATTCAGCAATTTGACACTAATTGCCATAGGCGCTATTTTCCATAGATAAGCCCCTGCTTGCACTTCAGTCACCTTCATAAGAACATCATCCGCTGACCCTGATTTTTGGAATGGAAGGGCAGCCTAAAACCCAGGCCAGGTGGCGCGTGTTGCCACGCTGACAAGGCAGTGTCAACCAGCCGTTACCTGAGTCAATCAATAACACCGGGGCTTGGGAAAGCCCAAAGTCCTCTCCCCTGTGTGACCTCAACTTCATAAGCTCCGCAGAAGGAAGATAAGCACATGGTATATGACTCGTCTTTGATAGGCAGAGGTCCCCAAGATGCAAGCCTGGGGTCCAAACTCCCAGCCTAGGCCTCAGCCCATTGGGATCCTCTGCATTTCTGGAAGAGCTTACATCTATGCGGAGCAGACAGGAGCTGGGGGAGAAACGGCAGGCTTTGGGCAGGCCAGCCCATGCAGGCCAGGCATCACAGAGGGGGCACCTTTTAGGACCTCCCTGGCACACTAGAGACTTAACCTCTTAACATGAGCATGAGCCTCAGCCCAGTCCTCCCTTATGGTCTCCCTGACCCCTACACCCACCGCCCACCCCTTCGCAGACACATACATGCCCCCCCACGCACACACGCATGCACATGTGTGCACACGCATGCACATACACGTGCACACACGCTTACTTCTCTTCTTTGATTTCCCAGTCTTCTTGGCATTTTCTTCTCTGAGGCTCTTCTCCTCCAGAGAGTGCCCCTCCTGGCCACCAGTGTCACCCTCCCTGTTCAGGGCCTCGGGCTCAGAGGCAGGAAACAGGTAGTTGGGCAGAGAGACGGCTGGAGCAGCGTCTGAGTCTGGAAGCATTTCGGACGTGCTGACTGCAAGAGGAAAGACCTGAGATGAGTGAGGCCCGGAGCAGGGTCTCCCAAGGTTAGAAGCGCAGGCCCATGGAGACAGGGTGCCGTTCCACGCAGCCCCTGATGCAGGATACACCTGAGAGAATGCCTCAAGCACCTCCCACCATGAGGTGGGAAGACATCTGCAGAGCTGTGGGCACAAGCTGCCCCAATCACCACCACCACATCAAGTGCCCACTGGTGGTAGTGGGGAAGTTCCAGGATGGCACCCAGGGTAAAGGGCCACCTTGATTAGCCATTGACTCAGTTTACAACTCGAAGGGGGCTCAGAACCCAGTTAGCCCAATTCCTCTGCTTGACTGAGACCCAGAGATGGCAAGACACGTGCCCAAGGTCACACAGCAAGACCTGTCGTGGTGAATCCAGAATGAATATTTGTGACAGAGTCAAGATTAGAGATGCTAGGACTCTTCACTTTTAGCTTCAGGACTTTCTTTCCCCAGTGTATCACAGCGCCCCCTTGAGAAACGGTGGGTCAGGCAGGAGATCCCCCTGTGGCATTAGGGCATATGCCAGGGGGGCAACTGGGGTGGAGACTGCCTCAGGAGCTCTCTGGGAATGTAGGGGCCAGGTGGGATCAAAAGGGATCTGAGCCCTCCTTGGGGCTGGCCTCCGATAACAGGGAAGGGATGAGGAGGTTCCTAGACTGGTTCATTTCTAAATATCCTAGGTGAGTGCCCCAACTCAGTCACACCCTGCATCTCTTTGTCTCCCTGGGAGCCAGGCAAGAGAGTGGAGAGGCCGGCAAAGCCACTGGCCGCCATTTCTGTGTCTACAGCTCCCCCTTGACTCCCTCCCACTCCAGTCACAGCTGGAAAGTGTGTCTACATATATAGTGGTGGGTGTGGGTACACGTGCCCGAGAGTCCCATAACGTTGGGTGATACTTAAGAACAGAATTTTGGGTTGCCTTCAGCGATCAGTCAAGGGCAAGGACTGGGGTTCCAACTTACAGATCTGCTTCTCATCCAGGACGTCGTTGGGGGATTCCACATTGAGCAAGACTTCAGTGGTTGACATGGAGGGTGAGGTTGCCTCATTGTCATCTGACCCCAGGTCATAGAGAAGAGAGAGAGAAAAAAGTCCCCTCAGGACATAGGGCACAGGGCAGGGGGTACAGCTAGAATCAGGGCCAACCCAGAGGCTGGTGTTAAGGAGCCAAGTAAGCAGAGGTCCCACGGGACAGCCTGAAAGGATCAGTGCCCTGCCCGCCATAACGCTTCGCCTTTTTCTCCACACCTTCCCAGCTGGCCTCCGCTCCTCATTGTCCCACCCCATCTCTAAAGATCGTGAATCCACTAAGATGGTCCCCTCCTCTGTGAAGCGGCACTACCTTTTGCTCATCCTAACCACTCTCCCTAATTTCTAACTGTTGAGGGCCTTTCCCATGCTGCCTGGAGTCACTAGAAGCCCTTGTGGCCTACTGGTCCCTGAAGACAAAACCCCTCTCTCCGCCGGCCCTTCCCTGCCCGGGAAGGGGACAGACCTGCCAACAAAAACCTGCCCTCCAGGATCTGATTCTCCGTCATGCACAAGGTCCCATCCGTTAGAATGCCATTGTGAACGTCGTCCAGCTCCAGGCCTGAGTACAGATGCAGTAATTCGGGGTAGGGTACCTGCTCCACGATCACAGCTGGGAACACTGAGGGGTCTTCCAGCTATGGAGAAGATAGGGATCTGGTTCAAGGTCCACCCACCTCTTCTAGGAAACCCTCCCTTCCAGAGTCCGGCCTTGCGTGCAATTCCTAATTCTTGGAACCCTGAGGGGCTGTCCTCTGTAGAGAATGATATTGCCCTGTGTCCAACATCATTCGGTGATATTTTACATGGGTTCTTTTTTATTTTTTTAGTGGCTCAAAACAACATAAATTTATTATCATACAGTTCTGGAGGTCAGAATTCCAACACGGGCCTCACTGGGCTAAAATCAAGGTGTTAGGAGGGCCCTTCTAGGGGCGCTAGGGGAGCATCCCTTTCCTCACCTTTTCCAGCTTCCAGAGGCTGCCTGCATTCCTTGGCTTGTGGCCCTTTCCTCCATCTTCAAAGCCAGCAACACTGAGCTAAATCCTCCTCATGCTGCCACCTCTGTCTCTCGTCTGCCTCCCTCCTTCACCTATAAGGACCCTAATGATGACATTGGGCCCACCTGGATAATCCAGGGTACGCTTCTATTTTAAGGTCAGCTGATCAGCAAACTTAATTCCATCTGCAACCTCAGTTTCCCCTTGCCACGTAACCTTACATATTCATGGGTTCCGGGGGTTAGCATAGTCACATTTTGGTGGTGGTGGGGGGGGTGGTATTCTTCCGCCTACCGTACTCCCCTTTTCACCTGTTCTGTTTTCTAGTTCTTGTTTAGCCAATTCCTTACATTGTTACTGTTGTTAGGTGCCATCGAGTCGATTCCGACTCATAACGACCCCATGTGACAGAATAGAACTTCCCCATAGGGTTTTCTAGGCTGTAATCGTTACAGGAGCAGATCGCCAGGTCTTGCTCCCTTGGAGCCGCTGGGTGAGTTTCAGCTGCCAACCTTTCAGTGAACCGCCGGTCTTTCAGTTGGTAGCCAAGCACTTAACCCTTGGGCCACCAGCACTCCTTATAGTAATTACTCTGTCAAAATAACTGGCACGGTTTCTGTTTTCCTAACTGGATGCTGCCTGATCCTGATAACTGTTGGTTATTGCTTGTTACATGAAAGCTTTTAAACATCTCTCGCTCTTTCTCTCATCTGTTTATTTATTTATTAACCAGCCATCTTACTGAACTAGGTTTACCAGGCACACAATCATATTATCAGGAAACAAGGAGCCTTGGTGGCGCAATGGTTAAGTGCTTGGCTACTAAACGAAGGTCAGCGGTTCGAACCCACCAGCCGCTCCGAGGAAGAACGATGTTGCAGTCTGCTTCCATAAAGATTTACAGCCTTGGAAACCCTATGGGGCAGTTATACCCTGTCCTATAGGGTAGCTATGGATAAGAATCGACTCGACAGCAACAAGTTTTTGTTTTTTAAAATCAGGAAATAAATATAATTTTGCCTCCTATTTTCAACCATTTAGTTTTCTTATTGACTCTCTTGTTCAGTTTTATTGGCCAATACTTCCAGAAGAATGTTCACTAACAGAGGAGGTGGGTGCCCTTGTTTTAGTCCTAATATGTGCATGCATGCCCAAACATTTGCATGGGTTCTTGATTAACAGAAACGGGTTGGCTCTGCACCACCTGTGCTCAACCAAGGGCAGGCATTTTTAATCGGTAGTAGTTCTGGGTTAATCTGTGGCCAGGGTAAGAACTCAGGCTGTGGGAAAGGATTAGTCAATGGCAAGGGTGAGGGGCTCAGCCTATAGGCAGGGTGGAGGACCCAGTTCGCAGCCGGGGTTGGGGCTCCGAGTGTGGACAGCTTAGGGTTAAGTCTGTGGCAATGACAGTGGCAATGAAGAAGGGAGAACAGAGACATCACAGGGGTAGAAAGGCCAGGGTGCAGTAATTGCCTGGAGGGGGAGAGGCTTTCAAATTTCCCGCTTGAGTCAATGGCTGGGGGGCTGTGGATGGGGATACAGCTCATGTTAATAGAGAATCCAGAAGGAGCAGGAGCAGGTTTGTTGTTGATTTTGTTTTGGTTGTGGGTTTGTGACTTTGGAGACCCCATGCGTTACAAGAGTAGAACTGGTCCATAGGATTTAAAACACCCAAACCCAAACCCGTTGCCATCCAGTCGGATTTTGACTCATAGCGAGCCTATAGGACAGAGTAGAACTGCCCCATAGGGTTTCCAACGCTGTAATCTTTACTGAAGCCGACTGCCACATCGTTCTCCTGCAGAGCAGCTGGTGGGTTTAAACTGCTGACCTTTCAGTTAACCTTTAGGTTAGCAGCCAAGTGCTTAACCACTATGCCACGAGGACCCCTTTCCATAGGGTTTACTTCGCTACAATCTTTACAGACACAGATTGCCAGGCCTGTTTATTCTGCAGTGCTGCTGGGCGGGTTTGTACCGCCAACCTTTTGGTTATCAGCTGAGTGCAAACCATTTGCATCACCCAGGACCTTGGAAGAGCAGGTTTGTGGACAAAGATAAGGGGTACGAGGTCTGGATATGGTGAGTTTGAGGTACCTTTGGGATATCTAAAATGGAGATGCCTATCAGTGGAGCCAGAAATAAGTGTCTGAGCGCTTGAAAGGGAACTGGTGGTCACTAAACCCCTTGGAGTGGATAAAATTATCAGGATGAGACTCAGACCCCTGGAGAGCATAGTTGCTTTAGAATTAAACCAGTAACCAGTTGCCGTCAAGTTTGTTCTGACTCATGGCGACCCTACGTGTGTCAGAGTAGAACTGTGCTCCATAGGGTTTTCAATGGCTGATTTTTTTGGAAGTAGATCGCCAGGCCTTTCCTTATAGGCGCCTCTGGGTGGACTCAAACTGCCACCCTTTCAGTTAGCAGCCAAACATTTTGCCCATTTTCACCACCCAGGGGAATTAAGCTAAGCTAAATGAAAAAGGAGTGTGATCACAGCTGTTTTTTCCCCCCAATTATATATAAAAGGAAATACACTAGAATGTTTATAATAGTTATATTTTGGTTGTGGGACTTCGGGTGATTTTTTCCCCCTTTTTCTACTTTTCTGTATTTCCCACATTTTCTTTAATGGGAAGGTTAATTCTGCATGAAAAAAAGAATGAGAATAGTGAGCTCTGTCTAATGTTCTTGAGATACCTGGAAGAATAACAGTTGATCAAAGACCTCTGGTTTGGCCACTGGGCAGTCACCCTGGCTAGAGCAGATTCAGGAGCGTGCTGGAGTCCCAAGCGAAATTACAACGCGTCTCAGAGAGGACACACTGAGGCAGGCAGTCGGCTGTAGCGATTAAAGCCCTGGATTCTAGAGCTGTGGTGTCTGTATGCTAGCCACTAGCTATGGGGGAGAAACAAACCAGTTGCTGTCAGCTCAGACTCATGGCAGGCGACCCCATGTGTGTCAGAGTAGAACTGTATTCCATAGGGTTTTCAATGGCTGTAACCTTTCAGAAGCAGATCGCCAGGCCTGTCTTCTGAGGCGCCTCTGGGTGGGTTCGAACCGCCAATCTTTGGCCACCCAGGCACTCTCTGCTGAGCAGACTAGAAGCAAGTGAAAAATGACAAATAGCATTGAGAGCCCAGGTGAGGTTAGACTTTTTCTTCCCTTCTCCCCACACGATGCCTTCCACGGGGCTAGGCACACCAGGGGTATTTAATAAAATCGCTCCACCACAACAGTAAGGAAGAGCTGGACAGAAGGTACAATGTGCTGAAAGCTCCACTAGGGGGCAGCCTTTGGCAGGCCGCTGGACACTGGACAAAAGTTATTCATCCTCACAGGGATTTAGGATAATGAGCAGAGCTAGGCTACGATGCCCTTCCCCCCCCCCAAAAAAATCAAACCAAACCCATTGCCGTCGAGTCAGTTCCAACTCATGGCGATCCCACAGGACAGAGTAGAACTGTCCTGTAGGGTTTCCAAGGCTGTAATCTTTACAGGAGCAGATTGCCACATCTTTCTCCCAAAGAGCAGCTGGTAGTTTGAACCACCGACCTTTTGGTTAGCAGCTGAGTGCTTAGCCACTTTGCCACCAGGGCTCCTAGAGATGGATAATCCAGCTAGATCCCCTCTTTGTGATGAGAGGGATTTGGTAGCCCACATAAGGTAGGGACAGGACTTGTCCAGGTGACCTGTGGTCAAACTGGGATCAGAACCCAGGGCTCTGACTCCTAATCTTCCATTCCTTCTTTCTCCGTTTTGTGGGAGGAGTGGAGGGTGGCAGTGAGTGTGCCAGGACACCATCCAATGAGTACATGCAAGTGCCCAGAAAACATGCCCTCTTGGCCCCAGTGCAGGGCAAGATATGGAGCAGTGGTGATGTGAGCACCTGTCCGAGTTTCCCACTCTCTCCCACCAGAAGACCCCGTTTCCAGTTTGTTCCTGAATGCTCAGGTTATTGAGGCCAAAAAGACAGTCATGCGAGGGCCCATCAACAGGGCTAGAGACAGGAGTTTAAAGACACCAAGGTTGGACTCCACCCTGAAGTTCCTTCCAGTTGGCAGGGCTGCCTCTTGCTATGTGGTCATCCCAGCAGCTTTCTCACTGTGACACTGGGGGTGGAGGGAAGTGGCCAAAAGATCATCTGGTTGTCAGTCTACACCTTGTGCACTCGGTCCACACTGCTGACTGGCCAAAAGCTCAGCTGATCTACTTAGCAGCTGCTTTGCTGGCTTGGTTGCTACATGTGCCACATAATTGCACTCGGACAACTGGCTCACTACGTGACTGCCCAGTGCCCACTGACGGGCCACATGAGTGACTAGCTGGCACACAGTCTGGTTGGCAAGCAGGCCCAGCGCTCTAAGCATAGTAGGTGCTTGGTCAATATTTGCTGACTGGTCAGCTGTCAAGCTGGCTGGATCACTGGCTGGCTGCCTGTCTGTCTGTCTAGCCATTATCCACGCTAGCTGACTGTGCTTTGGACTCTGGGGCCATACCTGGTGGATGTCATCCATCCCGTTGCTTGCAAACTCAAAGATCAGGTCACTGGGCTGCAGGGTAATAGCCATGCTGCCTTCTCAGAGAGCTGGTAGCGGAATTTGCAGTGCCCTCTGGAGCTGCGGGGTTTTCTTGACAAAGAGAAGCTGCTAGGGTACCTTGGAGCCTAGAGCCCTGAACCACAGTAAAATGGGGACCTCAAAGAGCTGGAGTTGGTGTTGGCCTAAGCCAGGCTCAGGGCTGCATGCTGGGCTGGGCCAACCGCAGGATCGACCTAGGAGGAGAGAGATGGGGGCCGTGAGTAAGTCACCTTCCTAGAGTGAAGCTTCTAGGACAGCTGGTGAACCAGAGCAACGTGGCCGTGCCAGGGCAGACTCCCAGAAGAGGGAAGGCAGAAAAGGAGGACAGTGGGAGAAGAAGGGGGAAGGAGAGGAAAGGAGGAAGGTAAAGATCGAGGGAGAAGAGAGGATGTCAGCCCATCACCTCCAGTAGAAAGTGGCCAAGCCTTGGTGCCAGCCTGGACTGCCAGCATCTGTACCCTGAGCCAGCCCCGAAAACACACAGCCTCCTACTCACCCTCTCCTCATCTCCTTTCAGAGAAGGTGACAGATAGCAGGACTTTGGGCTCTCTTCCCCCTGGAGACTTAATCCCTAGGGCGCAGCCATATAGAAAGCCAGGCCTGGCCTCAGGGAGGGCATGAGGAATCCCTAAAATCCCCTTGGCTTGGGAAAGAATCTGGTGTGAGGGGTGTTGGTGGGGCCCTGTGGGTGGGCAGAGCACTCTCGTCCAGACTCTGCCTGGCTCCCGGTTGACATTGTCTCAGGCCACCAGGGGAGTAGGGGCACATTAACTCTGAGAGGCGGAGTCTGCAGAGGAACAAGTGTCTCACCATGGGGGTTGTGTTGTATCACAGACGGCAATGGCCAGACCCAGCTCTTGGGGAAGGGACTCTCAGACCTGGCCACGCCTCCAGAGGGCCTGGGGACGGAGGGACAGGTGGGCCAGATGTCCTGGGTGCTCACCAGTGCCCTGCCGCCACCAGTGCCGGAGAAGATGGCCTTTGGTGCTGTGTGTGGGTTTATGTTCTTGGTTCAGCTTTGCTTTCAGTTTCAAGACTGAACTGTCACCCTGGGAACTTACGAGGAGAGCCCCGGCTGGGGGAGGGGCCGGCAGAACCTTCCCCATCCTCCAGGGCGCTGGCTCAGCCCTTTTCCAGGAAATCTCTGTCTGCTGCAGCCTCCCCTCCC